AATAAAAAACAGTAGGATTGTTCCATTGGCTTTTGGATTATTGCAAAAATAATTATGTGAAAATGTTTATGATTCTTACACATCATGATAATGTTCACATATGAACACAACATTTATTAATTTTTAAACTTTTACCAGAAAAAAAGCTAAATGTAAGCTTAAGCTATATACGAACTACACCACGGTCGCATGATTTGAACATCACCACCATTAAGCTTCTGACAAATCTTTCAGTCTTAAATTTTTTTTTTTATAAGAATTATCCCTAAGAGATTGAGTTAGAATAGTTTGCAAAAGTGTGATTGTAAGCACAATGAGGCTGTAACCTCTGTAGTCCTATTTAACCACTTGGTTAACCACTGGTCTTTTTCAAGACAAGTAAACGCTTTAACAAAGCGCAAGGTGGTATTACTGAGGTATTTTATACAATAAAACATTAAAATGTCTTTAGCTTGTGTTAATCACAGACCTTATTTCATGCATTTATCAATAAACCCACAAAAAAACAAAAACATAGACTTCAGCACTCTATTAGCCTCTATCAGAGCGTCATCACCAATGACAGATGTCTATTTTGGTTCCTCCCCTTCCCCCCAACTCACTCGCTCATGACTGTTTGACTTTGATTTATCTCGCTTCTCATGGAAGTTAATAGCCCAGAGTCATAATGAGATATTATCTAATCTAATGCAGCTTCTACCTTTTCAAAGCCAACCTCTGTTGGAATCAAGGAATGTCATGGGTTCAATACAAGTTAATTCAGAATCAAGTTAAAGTCTGTCGAAAGCTGTCAGGTAGTACGGAATATCATTTTAAATCATTGTGCTATTAGTTATGTCTGTAATTCTATAATAATGTCCATATTCACTACGTTCATTTTCATTTGGAGTTGTGAACCTGAGAAACACATCTATGCAGGTTTATTTTGGGAAAAAATTAGAGGAAAAGGATGGAGGGTGGAGAAGAGAGAGATGTAGGAGTTTCTCACACTTGTTTACCACTCCTTCGCTTCCTGCTTTTCTTTCTGTGGTACAGCTCAGACTGTGAGAGGGAAATGAGCTGTACTCGAGTCAAGCAAAACACTAACACACATGCAAACACCGCAGTGCTGTAAAATAGTCTGCCCTCTGGTCACAAAGAATCAGCTCATAAGAGTTATTCAGTTAACAAAGGCCTGATTTAAAAAAAGAATCTTTGTGGAATTATTCGGCATTAAAATCAAATAAACTTGTAAAATATAATATTGTTGTACTTGGGTTAAGGAGTAAGTTGAACCAAAAATGAAAAGTCTGTTATCATTTATTGACCCTCATTTCATTGTCTCTTTGAGCCCGGTCTCATGAAAATGCGTATCAATATCACAATTTTTTTGTGTGTGTTTTGCATGCTATTTATACGCAGAAACTGACTTTGGCGTGCATACGAGATGCACGTGTTTGGTGTGCAAATAAAATGTAGTTTTTGCATGCATTTTATGCACTTTGTTGGCGTGCATATGATACACATTTTGGCGTACATATAATACGCACCTACCCCACACCCCTAAACCTAACCATTGTGATCATTTCAGTCAAATCTAACTTTACGTTTGTAAAGCACAGTTCAGCCCGGCTTGCTGTGTGAACCTTTGCAACTGTGAGACTGTTATTGAAGGATGAAACCCGCTATGTGACTTCATCTGATGGGCTCCTTTTTTTTAAATAAAAAAGTGAATGTGCATCTGTATTTGTGTTTCCACCAACTTTTACAACACGCTTTGCTTCTTTAACCTTTTCCATCTGCCATTTCCTCACTTCTGATGATGACCCCTAAAGTTATTTTTGCACAAGGGTTGGCACAAACTCTAAACTGTGTAACAGAAAGGGAAATTCTTTTCTTTTCCTTGTTTTTTGAGCTGAAACCATCAGACGATATACTCACTCTAAATTTTTGTCACTATTCTTACACCTACTAATAATCCCTTTTCTTTAGTTACATACAGCTTGTGCATATCCTATATTGTATTTGTTAGTTGTCTTATTCCTTATTTCTTTGGCCCATAAACACATAGATGCATGAATAAACAAACAAGCCCATAAATAAATATATAAATAGTTGCAGATGAATTACCATCCTTAGTGCAGAATAATCTATAATGGAATTCTAATCTGCGCTGCATTTCACATTCTACTGGCATTCACGCTGTTAGAAAGTTCTCATTTGTTGTTAGTCTGTCTCTCAGTTCTCAGGTTCATTTATATGCAGATGTATGTGAGCTTTGGGTATTTGTCATTAATATATGCTGAGGAGGGAGACCTGGGTATTTCCGTACTGTCTGTCTGAATTAGCTGTGAAGCAGATTTGTCATCTCACCAACAGGGATGGAAAAGTGGGCAAATCAAAAGCTGTAAATGTGTCTTTTTCTGTATTATCGATCCTGAGTCCTGGGTTTGGGCGTCTGAGATAACGGGGCTTTTAGGAGTATGTTGAATTTTTTATGTGCATAAAAAACAGTAGGATTGTTCCATTGGCTTTTGGATTATTGCAAAAATAATTATGTGAAAATGTTTATGATTCTTACACATCATGATAATGTTCACATATGAACACAACATTTATTAATTTTTAAACTTTTACCAGAAAAAAAGCTAAATGTAAGCTTAAGCTATATACGAACTACACCACGGTCGCATGATTTGAACATCACCACCATTAAGCTTCTGACAAATCTTTCAGTCTTAAATTTTTTTTTTTATAAGAATTATCCCTAAGAGATTGAGTTAGAATAGTTTGCAAAAGTGTGATTGTAAGCACAATGAGGCTGTAAACCTCTGTAGTCCTATTTAACCACTTGGTTAACCACTGGTCTTTTTCAAGACAAGTAAACGCTTTAAAAAAGCGCAAGGTGGTATTACTGAGGTATTTTATACAATAAAACATTAAAATGTCTTTAGCTTGTGTTAATCACAGACCTTATTTCATGCATTTATCAATAAACCCACAAAAAAACAAAAACATAGACTTCAGCACTCTATTAGCCTCTATCAGAGCGTCATCACCAATGACAGATGTCTATTTTGGTTCCTCCCCTTCCCCCCAACTCACTCGCTCATGACTGTTTGACTTTGATTTATCTCGCTTCTCATGGAAGTTAATAGCCCAGAGTCATAATGAGATATTATCTAATCTAATGCAGCTTCTACCTTTTCAAAGCCAACCTCTGTTGGAATCAAGGAATGTCATGGGTTCAATACAAGTTAATTCAGAATCAAGTTAAAGTCTGTCGAAAGCTGTCAGGTAGTACGGAATATCATTTTAAATCATTGTGCTATTAGTTATGTCTGTAATTCTATAATAATGTCCATATTCACTACGTTCATTTTCATTTGGAGTTGTGAACCTGAGAAACACATCTATGCAGGTTTATTTTGGGAAAAAATTAGAGGAAAAGGATGGAGGGTGGAGAAGAGAGAGATGTAGGAGTTTCTCACACTTGTTTACCACTCCTTCGCTTCCTGCTTTTCTTTCTGTGGTACAGCTCAGACTGTGAGAGGGAAATGAGCTGTACTCGAGTCAAGCAAAACACTAACACACATGCAAACACCGCAGTGCTGTAAAATAGTCTGCCCTCTGGTCACAAAGAATCAGCTCATAAGAGTTATTCAGTTAACAAAGGCCTGATTTAAAAAAAGAATCTTTGTGGAATTATTCGGCATTAAAATCAAATAAACTTGTAAAATATAATATTGTTGTACTTGGGTTAAGGAGTAAGTTGAACCAAAAATGAAAAGTCTGTTATCATTTATTGACCCTCATTTCATTGTCTCTTTGAGCCCGGTCTCATGAAAATGCGTATCAATATCACAATTTTTTTGTGTGTGTTTTGCATGCTATTTATACGCAGAAACTGACTTTGGCGTGCATACGAGATGCACGTGTTTGGTGTGCAAATAAAATGTAGTTTTTGCATGCATTTTATGCACTTTGTTGGCGTGCATATGATACACATTTTGGCGTACATATAATACGCACCTACCCCACACCCCTAAACCTAACCATTGTGATCATTTCAGTCAAATCTAACTTTACGTTTGTAAAGCACAGTTCAGCCCGGCTTGCTGTGTGAACCTTTGCAACTGTGAGACTGTTATTGAAGGATGAAACCCGCTATGTGACTTCATCTGATGGGCTCCTTTTTTTTAAATAAAAAAGTGAATGTGCATCTGTATTTGTGTTTCCACCAACTTTTACAACACGCTTTGCTTCTTTAACCTTTTCCATCTGCCATTTCCTCACTTCTGATGATGACCCCTAAAGTTATTTTTGCACAAGGGTTGGCACAAACTCTAAACTGTGTAACAGAAAGGGAAATTCTTTTCTTTTCCTTGTTTTTTGAGCTGAAACCATCAGACGATATACTCACTCTAAATTTTTGTCACTATTCTTACACCTACTAATAATCCCTTTTCTTTAGTTACATACAGCTTGTGCATATCCTATATTGTATTTGTTAGTTGTCTTATTCCTTATTTCTTTGGCCCATAAACACATAGATGCATGAATAAACAAACAAGCCCATAAATAAATATATAAATAGTTGCAGATGAATTACCATCCTTAGTGCAGAATAATCTATAATGGAATTCTAATCTGCGCTGCATTTCACATTCTACTGGCATTCACGCTGTTAGAAAGTTCTCATTTGTTGTTAGTCTGTCTCTCAGTTCTCAGGTTCATTTATATGCAGATGTATGTGAGCTTTGGGTATTTGTCATTAATATATGCTGAGGAGGGAGACCTGGGTATTTCCGTACTGTCTGTCTGAATTAGCTGTGAAGCAGATTTGTCATCTCACCAACAGGGATGGAAAAGTGGGCAAATCAAAAGCTGTAAATGTGTCTTTTTCTGTATTATCGATCCTGAGTCCTGGGTTTGGGCGTCTGAGATAACGGGGCTTTTAGGAGTATGTTGAATTTTTTATGTGCATGATATATCTCTGATCCCTTCCCACCTCTTGACAGGATGACAACTGGGGCGAAACCACCACAGCGGTCACTGGAACATCAGACCACAGCTTGTCTCAAGAGGATTTGGCTGGCTTCGGGAAGGAGACAGAAGGTCCAGTAGAGAAATTGAACTGTGTACGCTTCCTTCCTTTGGCCCTCATCCTCCTCCTAGGCCTGCTGGTTCTGATCACCCCCCTGTCCTTCCTGGTGCTGCCCCAGCTGATGTGGCCAGAGCGCCTGCAGGCTTGTGGTACTGCCTGTGAGGGCCTGTTTCTCTCGCTGGCGTTCAAGCTCCTCATTCTGCTGCTGGCTGGTTGGGCGCTGTTTGTGCGACCGGCGCGAGCCTCCCTGCCCCGGATAGCAGTGTTCCGCGCCCTGCTGGGGTTGCTCACGCTCCTCCTGCTGCTCTCCTATTGGCTGTTCTTTGGAGTGCGCATCTTGGACTCGCAGGTATGGGCAAATGTGTGTAGTGACCATGAAGAGTCAAGAGAAACATGTTGAGATTTGTGGAAATGTGATTGTGTGAATTCAGTTTTTATAAAACGGATAGTTTCAGCTGTTGATGAGCCATGTTCAAATCCATATTGAAATAAATACAGATATGCACACCTTTGAACGTGGATCATTATTTTTGTGATGCTACTGGCACTGAAATTACACACTTCACTTATAGTATAACCTCCAATTAGACTAAGGACTTTATTTAACTTAAATGATTGTTTTCTATTTTAATATATTTTAAAATGTAATTTATTCCTGCATGTGATGGTAAAAGCTGGGTTTTCAGCAGCCACTATTCCAGTCTTCAGTGTCACACGGTCCTTCAGAAATCATTCTGATGTGCTGATTTGGTGCTCAAGAAACATTTCTTCTTATTATCAATGTTAAAAATCATTATACATTTTTTCCAGGATTCTTTGATGAAGAGAAAGTTCAAATTAACAGCTTTTATTTCAAATAGAAATCTTTTGTAACATGTGTCTTTAATGCCACTTTTGATCAATTTAAAAGGTCCTTGTTGAAAAGTAATAATTTAAAACATTATTAAATTATTTTATAACACTGAAAATAAAGATAAAACAGGATGTCTTTTCTTTGAAGAACATCACTAAATTTAGTAGAGGTCATTTTGATTCCCTTGGCTTACTGCTTTACTACATGTGCTTGACAGGATGAGAACTACCAAGGCATAGTGCAGTTTGCAGTATCACTGGTGGATGCTCTGCTGTTCATCCATTACCTGGCAGTGGTTCTGCTGGAGACCCGACATCTGCAGCCCTGCTTTTCTCTCTGTGTCGTGCGCTCCACTGATGGAGAGACTCACCACTATAACCTGGGACAGCTCAGGTGCCAGCTGAAAACAATGACCAAACTTTGATTAAAATGACTATAATATGCTGTTTAACGGTCTGTTGCACGCTCTTTAGTAAAAAGTAAAAAGAAAGAGGAAATCACTAGTCACACTTCAAATTAAAGGTTCCAACTAATACTAAAAAGTTGTACAGAACCAAAATGTTTTACATTAGAAAATCATTTTAATGGTCTAGTTCTGTAGAAAACCATTTATTTATTGATGTGTTCAAGAATCTAGAAACCAGTAAGGAACCAGGAACCTTTTAGCGAATAAAGAAGCATATACACTACAGTGAAAATGTTTTTTGATTTGATTTGATGTTTTGTGTGTGTGTGTGTGTGTGTGCACTGTTTAATGCATTAATAATGAGTTGAGGTTGGGCCAAGGGAAAAAGGTCCATTAATCACTCCATTTCAGACACTCCCTACTTTGCCCTGCGTTACTTCCCCTCTCCCTTCCTCTCTCCTGCCCATCGCTTTCCTTTGTTCTTGCTCTCATTGTTTCATTGGCTGAAGATTTTTGATCCAGTATTGCTGCAGAATCAAGTGACAGTGTGCGCACACACACACAAAGCAGAATGAAATCTATTATTATCTGACATCCAATGACTCTGTTTAATGAAATACATGATGGGATTGTGTGTTCCTGTGTTTTAATAGAGTAAGTTTTTTTTTTATAATGTTGATCGGTCTGTCTCTCTCTCTCTCTCTGTAGCATTCAGCGGGCAGCCCTGGTAATTCTTGAACACTATTATAAGGATTTCTCAGTTCACAACCCTGCCCTAATGACGGCTGCAAAGTCCAGGGCAGCTAAACATCTGGCTGGGCTAAAAGTCTATAATGTAGATGGTGAGTTTAATCTGTGTAAAATCACTGTCTGTTTTCTGACCTGACTCTTATTGTTCTCTTGACAAAGACATTCTGAAGTCATTTTGGAATCCCTAAATAGGAAAGGCATCAAAATTGAGATGTCTTTAATACTGTATATCAAATGTTTCTCCTAGACAGAAATGAGAGCCTACGTCTCCTGCTTCACAGATGTCCTGAGAAAAAGTAATGCAACATGTCTCTTCTAGAGTTTTAGAAAAGATCAGTGTCACAAACTGCCAATCAAATGTCAGAGATTTCAACATGAATCTTTCTCAGCATGTTCTTCCAACATCAGATCATCTGAGAAATGCTATCTATGTTAAATGTAAACACTTATAATTGGTAAACCTCAGTACAACTTGACATGAGGTTTTAATGCATTTCATTTAAAATGTCATTTTAAAGCATGCATTGAATCGCAATACATTCATTGTTGGGTTTACTCACTGCTGTTAAAGGAATACCAAAATTCATGCAAAAACGAAAATTTGCCAGAAATCTACTCACCCTTAAGGCATCTAAGATATACATGAATTTGTTTCTTTATCAGAACAGATTTTGACCAAATTAAGCATTACATCACTTGCTTACCAATGGATCCTCTGTAATGAATGGGTGCCGTCAGAATATCCAAACAGCTGATAAAAACATCACAATATTCTACAAGTAATCCACTTGACTTCAGTCCATCAGTTAACATCTTGTGAAGTGAAAAGCTTTGTGTTTGTTAAAAAAAAAAAAAAAATCATCAAGGCGTTTTAACTTTAAACAGTTGATTCTGGCCAAAATCGTGTTTAATTCATAATGATGCTTCCTCCAGTAAAACCTCCACACACTGTTGTCCTCTCACAAAATCAATAGACATATTTGTTTAGAACTGTTTTAGAGTGTTTTCACTTGTAAACGGTGCTTCATCTGTGCATATTTCTCTCCTGATTTAGACGAGGTGACTTTTTCACTAGAGAAAGCAGTATGGATAGAGGAGTTGTATTTTAGCCAGTTGGAATAGTTTGAAGTTAAAAACATCTTAATGACAGATTTGTTTATTACAAACATGCAGCTTTTTGCTTCAAAAGATGTTGATTGATCGACTGGAGTCATGGATTGTTGTGATATTTTATCAGCTGTGTAGACACGCTCATTCTGACGGCACCCATTTACTGTAATGTATCCACTGGTGAGCAAGTGATGAAATGCTACATTTCTCCAAATCTGTTTTAATAAAGAAACAAACTCATCTACATCTTGGGTGGCCTGAGTTGTTTTTTTTTTTCAAAAAAATTTTTTTTGGGGGAACTATTGCTTTAACCTTTGTATATTAATATGTATAACAATTTACATACAGTATAGAGCATTATATCTGGTTTTTATTTATATATTTCAAGTAAATTCTTTGTTTTGTATTTGACCAACCCCGTGCTTTTTTCCACTATATATAACCAATTGTTTTATTTGTTTCTAATTGTATCCCTCGTGAGGAATTTCAGTAGAAACATTTGAGACAAGTTGAGAAAGTTGATACTTGGGATGAGGATAAAATTCTACAGTTGGTTAAATCAACTTAAAACATCAAGTCTCCTAAGCTGTAAAGTAATATTGTCCTGAATTTATTAAATGTGTGTAGACGTACTAAAACAAACACTCATGCACACTTTTAATGCAGCAACCGTGTCAATCAGTTACCACCAACATCTAACGAATCTTCTGTAACGTTTCTTTCTGCAGAGTTTAAAGCGAAACTGAAAAGCTATCTTTTCGATTGTAAGTGCATACGGTATAATACATTCAGAAATCCTTTCACAGAGACACTGAATTGTCAAGTGCTCCACATGTCTTGGTTATTTGCTTGCATGCAGTCATTGTACACAGTGCACGAGGTCACAGACTCATCCAAAAAAAATCGATTTGCATCAAGAAATCCTTCTACATGTCTTGACTACTATGAAGAAGGTACTCATCTTTGCACTCACTGCTATAAAAATCTGTCACAAAAGTCAATAATTCTTCCTCACCCCAGATATCAAAAACACCCAGTCTCTCTCCCTCTCTTCCTCTCTCTTTGTTTGACATTTATGATGTGAAATGCACATACACCATGATGCAGAGATGCATACGTGGGATCAAGTTAACCCCTTAAGCACTCAAAACTTCCTTCATGCCTGTGGCTATTGAACCAGGCCAGGAATGTGTGTGTTTGAGTGTGAGTGTGCATGTATATGAAAATCAGCAGAATGTAGCTCTTTGTGCTTTGCACGGATTGTCAGAGTATTAATAATGCATCACTAGGAAGAAAATCCCCCCCTCCCAAAAAAAAATTTCCAGGTTTCAAAGCGCTCTGAAGTAGTCTATGCTCAACTACATGTTTTTTGTCTGTGTGTTAAATTAGTTTAGTATCTTGTTTCTCTTAATTCTTTTCCTTATTTTTATGTGTATATGTGTACATTTGTTTGTATTTGTAATGTTACACATAACAAGTGAGGAAAGGGTGGTTTCAAGATTCGCTGGTCCATTTTTAGTATACTGTATGTGATTTCAGGAGGTGATTCAGTGAGCTATAGAAGAGATCACAAAGCTGCCCTGCTACCAAGGAAAGTCATGCTGCCCTTGACATGCATTATTAATTATAACTGTGACCTGATTATGGATAAATATGCATAAATAATTCTGTTCACCACATTACTATGCACACAGAGCTAATATGCATTACGTGTGATCTTCATAGCCCAATTCCACATGAAGATGTGCTTGGCTGCCAGTGATCTTTTTTGCAGTAGATATAACATACTGTTCAAAAGTTTGGGGTTTGGTAAGATTTTTTAAATGATTTTTAAAAGAAGTCTCTAATGCTCACCAAGGCTGCATTCATTTGATCAAAAATACGGTAATGTGAAATATTATTACAATTTATAATAACTGCTTTTCATTTGAATATATTTTAAAATGTAAGTTATTCCTGTGATGGCAAAGCTGAATTTTCAGCAGCTATTACTCCAAACATAAAAATCACATGATCCTTCAGAAATCATTCTAAAATACTGATTTGGTGCTTAAGCATTTCCTTACTATTACAAATGTTGAAAACAGTTGCTGCTTAATACTTTTGTTACATGATAATTGTTGGGGGGATTCTTTAATGCATAGAAAGTTCAGAAGAACAGCATTTATTCGCAATATTAATCTTCTGTAACATGAATGTCTTCACGGTCACCTTTGATCTTTTAAATACATCCTTGCTGAATAAAAGTATTATTTTCTTTCAAAGAAAAAACATCTTACAGAACCCAAACTCATGAACGGTAGTGTATATGACCTGTATGAGAGGTAATAAACGGACAATAAAATGACAGTGAATGTAAAAAAATAAAGAAGTTAATTATATTACTTATTAATCGTCATAATAATGACTGCTGTTGAATTACACATTTACATGATGATCTGCAAAGGTATCTGTCTTTTTTGTAATATAGAACAATTTGCATCTGTTCTGTCCCATAATGCTAATCTTTCTCTTTCCAGGTGCTGGTAGCGATACTGCAACCTCTCAATCTCGGGCTAAAATAGCAGCTGCCGCCCGACAGAGAGACACCAGCCACAATGAGCTGTACTACGAGGAAGCAGAGCATGATAGAAGAGTCCGAAAACGCAGAGCACGGTAAGAGAAACTATAGAGGGACAGAGTTTGTGAAACAAGAAGTATGTGATACAGAGCATGCAATTAAATGAAAGAATAGAGTTGTGGTTTCAATGAAAACTGCTGCAGCTTAATATGCAACTTTTCTCCTTCTAGGCTGGTGGTGGCAGTAGAGGAGGCGTTCACACACGTTAGACGGCTGCAGGAGGAGGAGAAAAAGAAGCTGCCAGGAGATGAGATGGATCCACGTGAGGCAGCGCAGGCCATCTTCCCCTCCATGGCTCAAGCACTGCAGAAATACCTGCGCACCACCCGTCAGCAGCACTGCCACAGCATGGACAGTATTCAGGCCCATCTGGCATTCTGCATTACAAACAACATGACTCCAAAGGTGAGACACTGTGTGGCATGAATCTAAACATCTCCTAATTGACACTATCAAAAATGTCCTCAAATATATATGATTCAAGTTCCCATAACAGGAGTGACACTCAAAAAATATTTAGGTTTAAAGTTAAATATTCCAATTGTATATACAATTTACATCCATTTGGATTACAGTAGAGTTTTAATATAAACTAATAAACTACATACGATGCATATTTGTCAGTCATACATAAATGAAACGGGTAAAAACAGATTTCTGTACTAGTACTAATAAACTGAATTAGTTTTAAATACATAATAACCAGGTTTATATATTTAGCATCAATAAATCCTATTGGTTTCAATCCCATACTCATAACTAATCAAATATTGCTAGCAATAGTTTAAGCATGTGAATAATGATTTACACTGATTCTAAGCAATTTGAATAATGCGTTTAATATCATTATTTAAATCAAATCGATGAATATAGTTAGTATAGTAGTATATAATAAATATGCAATGATTTTGCAGAAATCTTACCTGTTTCTTACCCATTTCATGTATTTATGAGTGACATATATGAGGAATAACATTTGAAATTAAATTGAATTATATTTTATGAGAGCAGCTGTATGCATATAACTAAGCTGCTGACTGTTTATTTTCAGCATGACACCCATTTTAACTTTAAAATTCACTACTATATTTGTCAGGAACTTACAATTAAAGAACAATTAAATTATTTTGATTTACTCTCCTTGTTAATTAACATACAGTTTCTGAATAATATTTTTACATATTTAAATACATAGTATTTATTTTATTCATCATATTTCCTATTTGTGTGTATACACTCAATGGAAATTGAATTGATTTCCACTTTCCACAATTTCTCCAGTAAATGTTTAAAACATCAACTGCAACAAGTTAAAATTGATGCACTCAGAAGAGAATTGACAATCGTATTCAGTGTGTGTGTGTGTGTGTGTGTGTGCGCCCTGATAGAACTTTAAGCTTACAAAATCGAACAGTCAGTGATGACGTTATACAGTGCTGCAGCCATGAACATCAAAACCCAGAAGTCTAATTCACCATGGGTCCCCTCAAGATTTTCCTATGGGTTTTTATAATAGGGTTTTCAATTCATGAGTGAAGAAGGTTGTAAATATAAATTGACGACAATTAGCTATTTGAAAGGAAATGATACACACCCATACTGAAAATGCACATTTTTAAGCATATGTTTGCATGCGGAACTGTGATTGGTCTTTTGTTTCTCATATCAACTGATCTATCTGCACTACACATTACTATCAATCTCTCTTGCTACATCTGAATATGCCTACATCCAAACTAAATAGTAGGTGAAAAACAGTACTTGAAAAGATTAGTATGTCCAAATTCGTAGTATTTGTAAAACAGTAGGTGAAAAGTAACCTGATGACCTACTACTTTAGAGATTGGAGAATGTGCATTCAATGGATAATTTACCATCCCATGAGGCCACAAGAGAGGATTTGTGAATGGCAGTGAAGCAACAACGAATTTCATTCATACTACTGATATACATACTTTTTAAACAGTCACAAAGTTTCAAAACAAATACAGTACCTACTAGAAAGTATTTATTCATCTTTATTTCTATAATGCTTTATATAATGGAGATTGTGTCAAAGCAGCTTCACAGTGATAAACAGGAAAAGAATCAATTATTGAGACAATTTAGATTCTGCTGTAAAGCAGGTCTAAAAACACAGTAGTGTCATTATTGAGCTCAAATAAAAAAATTCAACAAAAAAAAAAAATGTCCCAGTCCCAAATGTTACACACAACTTCTAATCAAATCAACTTACTGTAGGATACTAACAGACATCAGTGAACAGATATGGGTGCTGTTGTTCCCTGCTAGGCATTTCTGGAGAGCTATCTGATGGCTGGGCCCACACTGCAGTATACGAGAGAGTGCTGGAGGACCCGGCAGTGGATGCTGGTCAGCGAAGCATCGGTCACCAGTCCCCTCCGTCATGGCTCTGAATTCCAGCTCAAATCATCTGACTTCAGCTTAGTGGTCACCAGCAAAGCTATCCCTCACCTCAAACTCAGTGAGGAGTACGTCCACCCCAAATCTCACAAGTTTGTACTACAACTACAGTCCGAGACCTCCGTCTGATGGATTCGGTTGCTTTTGTCTGTTTGGTTTTATACACTTGTAAATTTTGGACTAGTACTATTTTGTTTGAAATTCTTTTTCACTTTTTCACAGTTTATAAATGGCATTTTACATAATGGATGTATTTTGATACAATATTTGTTATTACCAAGAACAGAGGAGGGAAAAAAACAAACAAAAAAGATATACATGTACTGTATGTATCCGATTACCTAGTGCTGACTGGTGTGATTGTGCTGCTTGTCTGTATGTTTCTTTCTGCATAGAACAAATGCTAATTACAAACTGTGATAAGCATCAGACTGAGGCTTCATTGGTAAAGTTTTTGCAAGTAGATATTGTTTAGGATATTTATGTTTGTGAGACATTTTTTTTTCAGTTGACCACAACAGATGAGCATCAGAGCTGGAATTCTGTAAGATCTAGTAAGGTCACAAACATCAGTTAGAAAGTCACATTTATCAATGTCATGTTACATAATAGTGGTATAATAGCCAAACATACATTTTCAGCCTGTTGGATTTTTGTTATTTCTACCATTTTTATATGTTTGGAAGAAATATGGGTAATATATTGTGAGAAAAGACCCTGCCTTTTTTGTGATTAATAAATTGTGATTTGTAGATTGCCCCTTTTTTTGTGTGTGGTAATTAAATTGTGAATAAGGTATTTTTACGTTAAATTTTTTTCAGTGTGTGTGCATCATCATTAAAGAATCATTAAAATTCTATGTCCAATTGTATATTGAGAAGTAGCCTAATCATTTAAAACTATTTGCAAATTCACTCTTTTTTTGTATGCCCAATTTGTTGAAAACACAAAATCACATACAGTTTGAAAATACATGAATCATGTGAGTGGTACCATATTTTCAATTCAAAACGGCAAAATTTGAGGAAAAATGTTCCTCATGAGGATATTACTGTCAGCCGTTTAACATTTATATTTTAAAACAACTGTCAAAAATTTAAAGTTTTTACTTCAGTCTTTTTACCTCGCTCTCTTTCAATGTTAAACCTGATGCTTTGCACTGGAATTCATGCTCTAGAGAACTCTGCTTCTGTGAACAGTAAACCCCACCTGCTATGACTTGATTAGCCATCTTAATCTTTTTAATATTGACAAATGTCACTAGATTGCTGAGCCAGACCAGACCAAAAATGCAACTTTTAAACCTTTTTGCTTTCCTAACAGCAAACAGTGCAATGGAGTGCAGCAGAGCAGTGCAAGAATCTTGGATTCATTTCTATTTTTTGGGCAGGATTTGTCCTCCTCAATGTTTAGAACCTTTCAGTCAACCTTGTTTTTAGCTATATAGAGAAGTGTCTTGTGTTATTTGCTTAGAAGTTAATGTCTTTTGCTGATCTTTTTACCTTGCTAATAAAAAGGGTTTATTTCTTCTTCTTCCCCTTCTTCTTCTTCTTCCTCCTCTTCTTCTTCTACTTCCTCCTCCTCTTCTTCTTCTTCTTCCTCTTCCTCTTCCCCTTCCTCTTCTTCTTCTTCTTCTAAAGTTGCATGACTTTAATTGCTGTCCAGTTAAAATGAAAAGTTGCCTGTTTTTGTTGCAGTAGCCTACATATTGCTGCCTTCAAGTGTACTCATGCCAACCAGTAAACATGCCAACCTTCATGACTTTCTGATGTCCATTTTTATCAATGGAAATGAGAGGAAGGAAGGCCGTAATACTAATGTTGTCCACCAGAGGGAGGCACAAGACAACAAATGATTTTGTAAACGGTTCAATAGATTAACTATGCATAACATTCATCATAGTTTCATAAAGTTTAATAAAGGCTAAACAAAGTCTAATTACAGATAAATAATACCTTCATATTTATATATCCTAAATACAGAAAACATTTGTCAAGTTGTCAGACATGACTGCATATATTGCGGTCCAGTTAAAATGAAGAGGCAATATTATTTGTCTGTTGTGATATGGTACATAAAATAATACTTCCATAGAAAGACATTTAAATAGGCCTACTCGTATTACATTTGAAAAGAGACTTGGCCATTGTAACATAACTGTATCCTTTACATGAGGTGCTTTCACCTTGATTTCAATTTGACGTCAAATACTAGACAGTGATGTCGGTGCCAATAGCCTTGTGGGCAGCGTGCCTACCATAGACTGTATAAAAACATGGACGTAGTGTCTGTGACGTCACCCGTTGAATTCTGAAGAGCTTTTTTGAAGCCCAAAGTGGGCGGAGCCGGTCGTCGCCATCTTGGCAGCGCGTCACCGCGCGTCACTCCCGGATAATCGAAAATGGGCAAAGAGGCGGGACGTGGGTGGCGCTGAGGTGCTCAAAGTGTTCACTGCACAGA